CAAATCGTCAGGACGGCCCTGATTGTCACTTGAACCTTGCTTATAATTCGTCATACAAGTCGTTTCTTTAACATATAGTTATAAGTGGGTACCTACTTCATTGTAACGAGACAGAATCGCACTACATTATGAGACAACTAGCGCCGTCTATTGGATGCTTCAAGCGTCATGCGAACTCAAGACAGTTCCCCGGGGACGTCATGAACCGGCCCGCTCCGACGCGACATAGTGCGCGTGCAGAAACACTTGTTACTCTACAAGCTCAACTTTAAAGGCTCAAGAGTCATGAACGATAATATAAGAATAAGCTAGTCACTTCGGTGATGGCGCATAGCCGCCCAGCTCATAAACAGAACGCAACTTACGAAAAACAACCATAAACCAAAGTGACGGAAGCCTGACACTCAACGACAATGACGAGTACAACAGGTCTGCGGAAATACTGGTCAGTTCCGCCGACCAAAATACCGATTCACAGTTCGACGATCACTTTTATTATTTTCACTGCACGTTCTGTTGTGTTACGCTTTCGCGGTACCTACACGATCAATGACCGCAACACTGTTTCGGACAAGTTGAAACCAGCTGTCGTATTATTGCCGCCGTTGCGATATCTACCTACGTTGTAGCCCGTGCTCATTTATCATAATGTATTATAGTTCTCTTTAATTTATAAACAAGACTTTAATTTAATTAACATTGATTACATTATTGAGAATGCCTTGGGCGGTGAGTACCGCGGCTAAAGTTCTCGGAATAACTAGGATTTCACGGCGACAATAAGCTTCGTATAGCCAGTGCCACACTTGGACGTTTTGCGTCCCGGTGCAAAAAAAAAATTTGGCACCCACCATAAGCCCAGGTGAAAAATAATTGCTCCCCCCTGAGGGGCCAACCCACGGAGAATATGAGAGATAGATCCTCATTAAACTTTTGGATTTTGAGCACAGAAACGAATATTTGTTTTAAAATGTTTGCTTTTTTTAAAAATATTGTTTAGTCATTGCTTGATCCTCTCTCCGCAAAGATACATTTGAATTCATGTCACTTAAACCTTGCTTATAATTCATCATACAAGTCGTTTCTTTAACATATTTATGTAGGTACTTCGTGAATAAATAAAATAAAATTACATAAAATTATACAAATTAATATTAATTAAAAAATTTCAAACAGCGTAATACTATAGGTATGATATTGCATTATATTATATTGTATACAATGGCGGCGTGAAATTGTAAGCATATATTGTAGATTTTACATGTTTTTACCATGGTAGGTACCCTTCATTGAAGCACAATAATTAGCAGAGGGGGCCATTAATAATTTTTAGTTATAATATTTGCCATGATATATGTATTGAGGTCTTACGATTATTTTATATTAATTTATACACCCACCCACGCATTTCAGATGAAAAATAATCCTATATCCCGCCGCCACTGTATAATATATTTAATAATTAATACTATTATACTAAATTATATTATTATGCCGTAATACTGTTATTAAAATAATTAAAATTATAAAATTTTAATAATTCACAAGAAAACAAATTTCTGACCACAAAATGTTGGCGCCCGGGGCAGTTGTACCCAGCCCCTCCCCCTAAATGCGGCCCTTTACTTGGGCAATAATCCGGAAATCATTAGGTACACATTAAAATATTATAATGAAGGAATGAAGGTAATTGTTTGCGCCGCCAACAGTGTGGTGTTGTGTGTATGTTAGGCCGGGGCTATACACGGCGTATTTCGCCGAGTTTCGAACGCCGCGTATTCCGCATCGTTTTCCGCGGCGTTTTCCGTCGAATTAAAAACGCATTGGTTTAAATCGGAGCAGCTATACACGACGGGCGTAATACGCCGCGTTCTTCGCGGCGGCAAAAAACGCCGTTCGGCTTGCGTTTTCCACCGCGGCAGAAAACGCAGCGGAATACGCCGTGTATAGCGCCAGCCTTTGACTACAACTGTTCTATGCTTAGACGGTGCTTATCACTGACGACTGTTATCGTAATATCGTGTGCTTGTCTTGTTATCTGGTTTGTTGTGTTGTGTTGATCACGGGAGAAAACCACTATAATTTGTGTTCCTTCAGTCAACCGTCGTCCGTCACCGTCACTTTCGTTGCTAAATTCACGTGTGCGTGTGTAATTTGTTCGTTCGAGAAAAATGCTTAAATCTCAAACACCTTTGACACTCTTTTTTCAACCGCCGTCCAGGCACCTTTTGTCGGTTCATCGTTCCTGTGCTGCCGCCGACCACAGACCACGTTTTTGTCAGTGCAATTGTGTATCACAATACATGCACTCGGTGGTACACGCATTGTCTGGTAACTGTACAAATATAGGTACAACAATTATTCTAACGGCTTTTTCCCAATCTAGGGTGGTCAAAGCATCGACGGGTGATTCGTGGTTGTGTTTTCTACAGGCGGTGGTGTGGTCGCATCAACGTTCCCGTTTCGGCGGCACCGTTTGGCATTATTATGTTTTTGTGAGTATTGGTCGGCCATTTATGTTCAAATTAGTATTACAGCCAACAGGCTCATATTGTTATTGTTATTGTTGTAGCCGACGGGCTCTAGTCATTATTATTGTTATAGCCAGCAGGCTCATACTATTATTGTCATTAATTGCCAGCAGGCTCATATTATTATTGGGGTAGAACACGATTGAGAACGGTCCTTATCGGCCGTATCTTTTTTAATAGCACGATTGAGAACGTTCTTACCTGCTAACTTTTATGCAACGTTGCCACATTAATTAAAAATAAAAATAATAAAAATACAATATACAATATATATAAGATATCCATTTTTTAAGATTAAAAGTAAAAAAAAAATTATATTTATATACAACATATTTGTCAGCTTAAGATAAAAAATTAAAAAAATTAAAATTTATTTACAATATATTTATATATTTTATTTTTCAGCTTATTACTGTCCACCACGAACAACTGAATTTGGCAATATTAATAATTATTTACAGTTGAATGTCTGCAGATACATACAGTGTACATATCGTTATCGTATTTAGTATTGTTACTTGTTTAGTTCTGGACGTACTAATTGGTTACTAATTCAGTAATACTTATCGAGGCCTAGCTGTTGTTATCGACGATAACTTGTACCTATGTATAATATATGTATGGTATATAGGTATATATAACGGCAATAGTTTGAGCGGAAAAGCCTAGCCATGATAAAATTTTTATCGGTGATATGCTATGTTATATAATTTATTATTAACCGTCGACAGTGTGCCGAATGGCTCTTGTTAATCGCAAAAATTGTCGTACATTTTATAAAAAAATTGTGAAAAATGGCCAAAAAATACAAAAAAAAATCAGCTTACACACTTTATACTTACAAAACAACGTTTCATAACACCAAAAAAATATGCATTTGCATCAAAATCCAATAAATGGCAACGTCGCTACAAAAATCGTTCTCAATCGTTTGATTTTAAGGTACAAAATATTGTTTCTTTGATCTGCCGACATCGTTCTCAATCGTGTTGCTAAAAAGGTAAAACGTTCTCAATCGTACAACACCGTTATTATTGTTGTAATTTGCCAACAGGCATACTTTATTATAGTTTAATTAGCCAACCAGGCTCATTGTTCAATTAGTTTTTACATTATTATTATATTTCTCTATTATGATTAGCTAACCATGCTTATTATACATAGTACACTGCTATGTACACTGGTGTTATTGCCATCACCATGTATCAAGCATTGTTATAACCATTAGAGGCTTACAATAAACACTGTATTATTATCTTACTTGTTTCTTACTGCATTATTATTCATAGGCGTGAGGGTGTACTTGGTGTATCGCTTGATACACCAAGCATCGAGCACGCATACATTTTTTGGTGACCTCAACGTGATACATTTAATTCTTATCAAGTTGTTAAACTTGATATGTTAAACTTGTAAGTGTAATAGTTGGTTTGTTGTTTCAATCTGGTGTGTTACAGGTTATTGTAGTTTACTTAATCACTGTAACAATCAAAAGTTGTAAATCATAGACTGACAGTACCAATAGTTTATTTTTAAGTCAACCAATTATTGTCTTGTAGGGCAAATTAAATCTATAACAATCACCGTGGTTGGATTGTTAATTTTGTAATTTCTTAACTTGTTTTTTGTTATTATTTCTATTGTGAGATAAGCACTTGATACATAACACTTCTTTTTGTAAAAACAGGTATGGCTGCCAAAGCGATTAAGAAGAAACTTAAGACTATCGCCTCTGAACTTGCAGCACTATTGTCACAGTTTGATGTTTCAACTAGTAACATCAACGAGGTGCGTGTAAGGATCGAATGCTTGCCTGATATCTCTGAGAGATTTGAACCGCTTCAAATACACGGATTCAACGCGTCTCAATTGGCATTTGGTGCATGTTTGTACCTGAGGTCGGTCGCACATGACTGCAGTGTGTATGTACACTCGTACAAATCAAAGTCCAGGGTTGCACCAATGAAGGCCACGACCATACCGAGGCTCGAGTTTATATGGCGCTGTGACATTAGCCGAACTTGTCCTTAAAGTTCAAGCGCGGTCTCAACTCTTTGGTGGCATGGGCCACCGTTGTTAAGTCAATAGTCAACTGCATGGCCAGACTGTCCAGCGTTACCAACAGAGATGCCTGAAGTTAAACCTGTGAAATTCGTCTTATCAGCATCCCAAGTAGCTTCACCTTGGTTGTTAGAATCATATTCAGACTGGATGAAGTTGTTGTGTACCTCAACTCTTTTTATGCGGTTTATTTCAAATTGTCGGATAAAATAAGAGTGTAAAGAAAACCGGTGTGTTGGGTAATGGGTTCATTCTATCGCAAGAGTTACAAAAAGCAAGGAATCACTGGTTGCGACAAGCTCAAGCAGTAGCATTTTCTGAAGACTATTCTGTGTTAAAAAACAAACAACAAGTTTCCCGTTGCAGTTGCTTAAAACAGTTAAGTCCATTCATTGATTAGCAAACTCCATGAAGCATCCCATCGTATTACCATCCACCAACCAAGTTACTCGATTACTATTCAAATATGAACATGTCAGGTTACTGCACGTGGGACCATTGGCATTGTTAGCGTATATCAATAATCATTATTGGGTCATTAGAGGTCGGTGCATAGCAAGATCCACTGTAGGTCGCTGTATTCAATGTTTCAAAACCAATCCTAAATTTGTATCCCCATTCATGGCACCCCTTCCACGTGAGAGAGTGACCATCGCAAGACCTTTTGCACGAACTGGTGTAGACTATTGTGGCCCGGTCATGGTGCGAAGTGGATTGAGGAAGGTTACTCCTCTGAAAAGTTACGTGTGCGTTTTCATCTGTTTAGTAACCAGAGCAATACGTCTCGAGTTAGTGTCGTCATTGTCAGCAGACAATTTCATTAGCACCTTATCCAGGTTTATGGCTCGCCTTGGGCAATGTCAAGAATTCTTCAGCGATAACGGGACCAACTTTGTCGGTGCAAACCAAATCCTGCAAACACATATTCAAGAATGCCAAAAGAGTACCAAAGTATACAACTTTTTAAGCAGCCGAAGCATTGACTGGCATTTCATACCACCGTCAGCACCTCACTTTGGTGACATTTAGGAGGCTGCGGTCAAGTCAGCTAAAAACCATTTGTCTCCAAAAGTGTTATGATGACGTTCGATGAGACTACCACATTACTATGCCACATAGAAGCAGTGTTGAATTCACGGCCATTAACACCACTGTCAAGCGATCCTTCTGACTTCAATGCTTTGACAGCCGGCCATTTCTTGATAGGGAGTCCATTACAGCTCCCACCTGAACCAGATTGTACAGGCATTCCACAGAACCGTCTGTGTCGATTCAAACTCATGCAAGCACAAGCACAGAATTTTTGGAAACGATGGTCTTCTGAGTATTTGCCCCAGTGTCAACGACATGGCAAGTGGACCAAACTCACTCGCAACATTAAAGTAGGAGACTTAGCAGTTCTGAAGAATGACAACAGCCCACCACTGTAATGGGACCTAGTTCGTGTTACCAAATTACTTCCGGGCCCTGATGGAATTGTACAAGCAGTCACGGTACGGAATTCTTCAGGGTCTGAGTTCAAGCGTCCAGCAACCAAGTTGGCTGTTCTACCCACTGAGAAGGGCAGAACGCGTTCTAAAATGTTTGTATTGTATTCCTTGCTCATTTGTAATGATTGTTAAGTATTTGTTGTGGTTCATGTATTCAAATTGTCATATTTAGTCAGTCAAATAGTCCACAGTTGTTGTAATTTTTGAAAGGCATTTCCCTTTCAAAAGGGGGGAATATGTTGGCACCATTTGTCATTATTATGTTTTTTTGAGTATTGGTTGACCATTTATGTTCAAATTAGTATTACAGCCAACAGGCTCATATTATTATTGTTGTAATTTGCCAACAGGCATACTTTATTATAGTTTAAGTAGCCAACCAGGCTCATTGTTCAATTAGTTTTTACATTATTATTATATTTCTCTATTATGATTAGCTAACCAGGCTTATTATACATAGTAAACTGCTATGTACACTGGCCGTGTTATTGCCATCACCATGTATCAAGCATTGTTATAACCATTAGAGGCTTACAATAAACACTGTATTATTACCTTATTTGTTTCTCACTGCATTATTATTCATAGGCGTGAGGGTGTACTTGGTGTTTCGCTTGATACACCAAGCATCGAGCGCTCATACAGTAATAAAATACCTTACAAAATAACTAAATATACCTAACATAAGAAAAAAAACTGGAAAAATACTTGAACACTGGAATTTAATGCACCAAATTCATAGTATATGTAAGTAGGTACTCAATTAGGTGTCTAAATTAATAAATTGAGTAACACTCAAATACTTTTCAAAAGTATTTGAAATAATCTTCAAATACAAAAAATGATTTTTTTTACTTTTTAGTTCTGAAATAATTTGTTAAAATCAAAAATTTGTTAATTGCATTTTAAAACATGATTTGTTCATTATTCAGGTACTTGCAACTTGGTAGGTATTTCTTTTTATTTTATATATTTATAGTAGGTACCTATATTTACTATTTACACATCAATATTGGTATGTCGTATTGAATGCTGACAATGCTAGGTAGTATAAAAATCTATTTCCAGTCATCACAGTTAAATATATGACATTTTATTTTGCGTATTCGATTTAGCTAATTAATTAATTATAAATTAGGTGCATAATTACAATTTTTAAATTAATGAAGCCTGTGTAGCTTTATCCACTGGCCCACATTTTTATTTGAATGTTCATCATTCGTCTTAAAATAAAATTGCAATAAATGATATTTTATTTATATTTTAGACACTCAATGTTCAGTCACTAAGACAAGTTTTACCTACCATATTAAACCACTTTTCGAGTGTGAAACGCGGTTAAAATAATATTATATGCCTAGTGCTTACCTATACCAGTTACACGTACTTACACAGTATTACAGTACCTATAGGTACAAGGTAACGTCAAATGGGCCAACTTGGGCAAATATATTACCTCCATAACGGTCTCTTGTCAATTATTATGAAATAATTAATGTGAAATAAATGTTGTGTTCTTATGTTAACAATATTTTAATTCACTTTGGTAGGTACTAGGTAGGTAGTGTCGTAGCATCAAATTTTAACCTAACTATAAATTGTTATTAATTAATTTTACGTTTAATATCTATCGTTTAGCTGACGTTCTAAAACTTACACTAACACTCATTGAATGAGATGTTTTATATACAAATTGATAGGTGATAAAAAATAATGTTTGGCATGTGTTTAACTTGGGCCAAAAATATTATCTTTTAGTTTTACCTCCATAAAAATATCTTATCAATTATTTAATATTATGATACTAATATTCTGTTGTACGTTCAGATGTGTGTTAAATTTACTACGCTAGGTAAATTATAAATTATTATAATCTTGCATACATTTCTGTAAATTATGTTTTACTTATTTAGTCCAACTTGGGCCTCTATTATTCAATGTAATTTTACAATATTATTTACATATTACTATACCTACCTATGTATTTAATTGTTAAACCAAAAAGTTACATAAGTTACAAAAGTATATATTAAAAAAAAAAATAATAATCCAATAATATTGTAATAATGGGTTGAGGCTGCCGCGGACCCCCGACATGAGTATCGCGGACCCCCAAGGGACCCCGGACCAAAGGTTAAAAACCGCTGTTCTATAACCACGATTAAAGATATACAGGTTGCACATCGCCCTATAGTAAACCGCTTCCAGACTGATTTACAAAGTGACTATAAAAATCAGCTGTTAATAATTAACTAGTGGCGCTTAATGTCAACATTTAACCATATGTGTCGACATTTAGAACTAATTTTACACCTATATATCTATAATTGGTTAATTGTAATACTGCCGCTTGGAGCGCCACTGGTTAATTATTGGTAGTCATTTCGTATTTCACCTTATCAGTAGTCGATGTGCAACCTGTATATCTTTAATCGTGTCTATAACAAACTATATAAACAATAACAAGTATATCAATATATAAAATATGATAATATTACTGTATGTCTGTATCAGTTGATAAAAAGTAGTTGGTTCTTTGGGGGGTCAAAAGTGAAAATTTCCCAGTAGTTTTCAAAAGCGGCGTGAAAAACAAAATAATATTGCTATAAATAAAAAATATATTTTGAAGCAGCGCCTGGTCAACTGTATGTCGAACAGTGTTATAATGGACTTCAGTGGGAGCGTATTATCAGTAAAAGCGATTTATCCGTCACATGGTAATTCATTTGAACGTTTTATTATATTATATTAGGTAATATATTATTTTAAATTAAACTTACAATTTACAGATTCCTTATGATATTAATTTTAATCAAACATTAGAAACAGTCTACATCATAATATATTTTAAAATGCCAACCACTTGTTGTGTACGTGGTTGCTATTGAGAAGGCAATGGTATAATCAAGTACTTCAGGTAAGTGACAAATTGGATTTGTTTGCTTGTGTTATAATCATACATTCACATAATCATATCCAGGGCTTGAAACCGATTTTCGATACCGGTTTTGAATACCGGTTTAAACCGTTAAAAACCGAAACCGAAATCGAAACCGAAACCGAAATTGGAAAAAATAATACCGGTATCCAAAACCGAAACCGAAATCGGAAAAAATCGATACCGGTATCTGAAACCGAAACCGAAAACGGAAAAAATCAATACCGGTTTCCGAAACCGAAACCGAAATCGGAAAAAATAAATACCGGTATCCGAAACCGAAACCGAAATCGGAAAACGTAAATACCGATATCCAAAACCGAAACCGAAATCGGAAAACATAAATACCGATATCTGAAACCGAAATCGAAATCGGAAAAAATAATACCGTTTTTTGAAACTTAGGACGAAATCTTAAGAAATAACTTGATATCCGAAACGGAAGTCGAAAAATTATAACATTAATATCTAACATTTAAAAAAATCTACGCATTTAAAATAAACCTATAGGCTATAATTGAATTTCTGTTTAAAAGCTATGAATAATATAATTTATAATGCATATGGTAGAAAATAATAAATATCGTGTATATTATGTAAATTTGTTCTATCCTTCTATCATACAATGCGATCAATATTAAATATAATATTATAACTTATAAGATATCATTATTTATTATAACATCATGTGGATGATGGCAAAGCTGGGCAAGTTAACCAATTTTTTTAACTAGTTAAAGTTAAGTGATCCTTAAATAAAAAATAACTATGCTAAGTTAAAGTTCATTAGTCTTTTATAAATTATCATATTAAATTATTAATATACTGTATTAATACGTCTGGGGTAATTGTTTACTCCGTGCTCAAAACGAAGAATTAAATTAAATTACATTTTTTTTACATGGAGTTGACATAGTATTTTTGTTGGTATATTATTAGTTTTTATAAATTATCATATAAATCGAAGAGTCTCGCTAAATATTATATATTATTATTTATTTTAATAGTTTATAATATTTATATTGCCGTTTCCATGGCGCTTTTATAATAATATTATTAAAAATTATTAATTTGGTCCATTTATTAGACCTTTAGCCTAGGTCATGTGCTATGCCTTCTTTTTTTTTACTTAGTTTTACTTAGTTTTTTACTGGATTCTAAAATATTAACTCGAAAGTACCTACCTATATAGATATTTATATTATTATGTATACTTTCTGAGTTCTGCAGTAATACAATTGATATTAATAATGATTAATGGTGCCTAATATATTATATTATTATAATTAATATTTTATAATATAATAATATATTATTATGTAAGTAGGTCTAGCTACACTGGTGCAGTAGTCTTCGTCTGCGGGCACCCGTATGTTTGCATAGGTAATTTCACAGGGTATATAAATTATTATATGTCACGCATAATATAATATTATTATTATACGCAATATAATAATTATTATATTTATATATTATATATTATTTTGGTAAATGGATTAATCGTATAGTCGTATTCTAAAACAGTATACGCAGAAATACGCTATAATAAAAATTGTATAATAATAATACTATTATTATTTACTATATTATAAGCTGTCGTGTTTTTCTGCCGCCACAGACGATCAGAAGACAGAAATAACTATGTGGCATAATTTTCCTACATAAAATTAACACAATAGCCAACAATAAATTATGAAATACTGAGTCAATAATTATAGTATAGTTATAAATAATTTATATTATTTATAATTTATTATAATACATTATAAGGCCTTAACATAATATTGTCTGGGTTTCCCTAAAAGCCGACGACTGAAAAATGTGCTCCCTACCAACCCACCACCAACCATACTCTATTGGATTAATATACCTAATCTAGATTGGTAAAATATAATCAAGCTGTGATCAATTTGATTAATGTGGTGGGTGGGACACACATGAAGTTAGCCCCTCATTGAGAAAATAGTTTCAACTTATAAACGATGAAGTTACACAAACTCTT